TGTTTAGATTTTTCTTTTTCTTAGATTTTGTTTAGATTTTTTTATCTCGTTTCTTTCTTTCTGTCTGTCGTTTTGGGTGCCCGTTCGTTTCGAACGAACGGGACTTAACTGCACTAGACTGTTTCGTCGGATTCACACCGACTCATCAGGAGGCTGAGCCTCAACACCCTGGCCGGGTGCGAATGGATCCACCCTTGATCGTGGATCTATACACCGCCGCGGAGTGTGTGTGTGTGTGAGAGAGAGAGAGAGAGACACTTACCTGCGCCCGTTGGCTGAGCAACGGGCTGAAGGCCGCCGCCTGCACCTGGCGCTGTAGGCGTCCAGGTACGGGCGCGCGGGGGCAATAGGGGAAGAAGACCCTGTTGAGCTTGACTCTAGTACGACTCTGTGAAATGACTTTGAAAGGGGGGGAAGTGCTCGTTCGTTTTCGAACGACGAGCCCCTGCCTTAAAAAAAAGAAAAAAAAAAAGAAGACTATCCCTTCCTTCTCATCTTTTGAAAGGAGTTGGCAAAACCGCATAATATGGCCCTTTTCTGCGCAATAGTTACATGTGGCTTCCAACTGCCACGCCCAACGGCTTCGCTGTCCGTTTCCACGGCCTCGACCGCGGCCTCTTCCACCCTGCGGCTGGAACTGCCCTTGATCTTGGGAACTTTGTCCTGACGAACCAGTGCCAGCATTGCCACTCCCTCCTTGATTATTTTGTCCACCGTTCTTCCCCTGTTTACGCGAAGTCCCCTGTCCGCCCTGAATTTGATTCAAGACCTTCCTCTCCGCCTTTGTCAACTTGCGAGGCGGCTCCTTTTCTTCCTCGCTCTCACTGTCATTTTCTTCTTCCGCCGTCTCTTTCCCCTTCCTCTTACGATTTTTTTCTTTGGCCAACATGACTTGAAACTTCAGCCTTTCCTCCTTCATGCCCTCCATCATTTCTCTCATGCAAGTCAAAGTTTTGTAAATTTCACCGTCCTTAACTTCTCCCAGCTTCACCTTTTCCCGCTCCTCCTTTTGCTGCCTCAACAGCCGGTAGAGGATATCGTCGAACTTCCCCGGACCTTAGTCCAGTCATACCTCCCTTGCATCCCTTCAACCAATTTCGATTGTTCGACGTCGTTGAAGTTATCAAGGAAGATGAGGCAGCGATCTTTGTCGGACAAATCCGGGATTAGGTGAGCCACACGCTCGAACTCCGACAAGAATTGTTTGGTTGTACCAAACTTTTTACGATCCACCGCCCTCAAATCCTGCAGGTCGAGCAACCGATCGCTGAGCTGATACTTCTCCAACAACCGCGCCTTAAAATTTGACCAATCATGAGAAATTCGCACGAGCTCATCGATCTCGTCTCGGTACCCCACTTGACAGTACCTTTTAACCATGCGAAGCATCTTCTCATCTGTCCATTCGTTGCTATACCCCAATTGCTCAAACTTGTCTGCCCAAGAAGAGGCATGATTCCCGTCGAACAACGGAACATCAATCTTAGGGTAGGGCTCTCGCTGCAACTGCCGGATAACCCGTGCCAATTCTTGAATGTCGTTCCTCCCATCGTCGACGTTGTCGCGACGTCCTGCGGCACCGTCCATCTAGAAACATAAACCCAAGAAATCAGTCTAGGAGTTTTGGTGACATCTATTAAGGTTTCTTCCTTACATTTATAGAGGCTCAGAGATTACTAACCTTTTTTCTTAGACAACCACTACGGCACAATCTTTCACTTGCTTCATTCCCGAGTGTCATTCCACAAGGGACAACGGTAGTTCGTCGTTATTCCCGGCAACGGCGCCACCTGTCGAGCGCATCAGCCCCCGCGTGAGCGAGGGCCCTCCCGGCCGCATCACGCAGGAGAAACTTAGCTTTCCAACTTTTTAGAGACAGCTTGGGGACAACACGGTAACCCACATCGACCCGTCGCCACTCCGGCCGAGTGCGCCAGCTGCACATCCCACGGTCCCCTACGACAGGATAGGTTTCCGCGGGGCACAACTTACCTTCCCTAAGGGGCTGTCACCACCCTTAGGGGTGTATCCCTACCGAGCTACCAACCCACATGCGAAAACTTTTATAATGCAGTTGCAGAGGTAGGGCGGCCGAGGGCGTTTGCTCGTTCGCTGTAGCATAGGTACGCATAGTTAAACGCCAAAGTGGACCCGAACGTCGTCTGTCCCTGGGGCGCTGATCTCCCAGGAATCGGACCGACGTCGGTCGACTAGGACGTGACGTTCCAAGCGTAAGGAAGACTTCTAGCGATCCTAGTCCCTTCTTTCGAAGACAATCAAGAGTCACTCAGACAAACCCTTTCAAAARAAAGACTCAGGTCAACGCAAGCTGAATTATTCTCTGAAATTGACACAGTCATACATATCACTCGTCAGGGCTGTCACAACTTTTGCGACTTGATGAGGTGCGTTGCTAAGTTCTTTCATTCCACCCCATGCCGACTGCTAGCCAAGAATGCAGACTAATCCCAATACTCGATTAAAGCTTGGATGCCATCGCACCAGTGATGACTATACTCCCACTCTAACTTTGGTGTGAATGTCGTTTGCAAGTAGTCCGGCTACCACTATACGAGTCAGTACTCGACCTAAACAGCCGAACACTGGATGCCCCATTAAGGTTAAGGATCTACTTTTAAATTATATTGGTCGCTTTGTCCTCCTGGGCAATAATTACTCTTTATGTTTCATAAATGATGAAGTATCAACCTTCGACATGAAAATATTCAAGGCAATAAATACTCTATTCACATATTTCCGTCAACTAGTCTGATCGCCCCAGGCTTGCACTTCTTATGGTGCAACCCTATCCGCGAAGGTAGTGCCTAATCGCACTCCGTCCATAGCTAGAAAAYACACGAACTGGGCTTCTTATGGCRCTAGTTCCCCATTCGTCTGTGRCTCCTAAGACGGYCACTAGAAGGGTAACCTACAACGGTTCTCCTTAACGTGAGCCGTCAAGAACTTAACGCCCTTCGTGAATAGCACACGTYCATCCCCTAGRAGGTGGTCTGGGATACCCCTCGTCCTCGCCTGGGCGAACCCCGGATCTCAGAAGTCGGGCTGGCTCCACCACGACAGCATGGTACCCCCCCSCCTAAGCGGTCCACTCCGAGTCGTTAACAGRGTCGGCCCCTAAGGCAACGAACCCCCGCCTCAGATGCCTCCTAGGGAAAGGAAATGCACTTACCACAGCGGACGGTTAACCCTTTTTCGCCTAACGTCAAGGGCTAACCTAGACGAAGAAGGAGATCACAGAGAAGAAAAAAAAAAAMATTCAGATGGGCGGGCATAGACAAAGAGGGTCATTCRGGRAAGAATGGGTAACCTCGGGGAAAATCTATGTCCAATTCAYTTATTMTCTTTTGTGTGATCGCTCCGTTCCTCGTCGTCTGCTGTCTTCTCATCCCCTCAACATGCATGCAAGCAAAAGATAGAAAACAATCATCATTCCATTCACTTTCGCTGACATGATTAAATCTCCATTTTCCAAGCATCCTTCTACTTACCTGCACATGAGATCAAACAAAAAGTTCAAGAGAAAACAATGCAATCCCAAACTCATGTCAGACTTTCAGTCACACGTGCAAACAAACACAACTTCCCCTACCTTTCCAGTGAATGATTACGAAGGGAATTCGATCGACCCCAACATTGAAGGGGGTATGAGGAAGGAGGCGTATCGCCGAATGGGTCGTCCGCTACTGGCAACGTTCCGGATTGCTTCTCCTGAAGAAGCACAGTTGACCGAGGTTGAGGAGGCCATGGCGTCGTTACATATTGGCGATTCGCCGGTGGAACCAGAAGGGTTTAGGGAACAAGTGGTGGAACGAGCGCAAACCATCACTAGGCGGCTTGCCCGGTGCCGGGACTCTATCATCCGACTTTATGTGGACATGAAGGAAGTCTGGCCTGGATTGCCGAATGTCTTTCTCTTTGGCGAATGGGGTGATAAAAGGGAAGATGTGCCTGGCTGAGCAGGGACGTCCGCTCCGAGAGAAGCGTCGCAAACCGGGCCAACGGTAAGCACGATGCGACCTAGGCCTGTGCTAAAGAGGAGTGCCCCGACTGTAGTCGTTCAGACTCGGGTGCGGCGATGAAACGAACAACTTCAAAAGGAGAAAGAGTCTGAAAAGGCAGTGGAAGAATAGCCTATTTCCATTAATGAGAACGAAGAGGACGATGAGGACGAGAAGTTGCGAGCCGAAGAGGAAAAACGGGTTCGTCGTCGTGCACTGGAAAGGGAGCCGGAGAAAGGGAAGGCCGAAGTAAGCGAGGAGGAGCCACGAAAGAAGAAGAACATTTATTCGATCCCCGTGGAGCAGGGGGTCGATATCGAGCAACTCGTCAATAAGATTCTGGAAAGTCAGCCCGACTTGGTCACGCTGAAGGAAATTTTGGCGGTATTGCCGAAAATTCGAGAAGAGTTTAAACAGCGGATGACTCGTAAGAGAGTCATGACTGTTAAGCTCGGCGAAGTCATTCCGCCGGAGGCTAACTGGTCCCCGCCTGGGATGAAGATGGATTGGCGAAGTGCGTCAACCGACCATATGAAGGTCCAGATTGGACAGCAGGAGTATTCGGCACTTGTGGATGATGGAGCCGAGATGAACATCATTCGTGAGCGTCATGCCATCGAAGCCGGGTTGAAGATCAATCGAGATGATTACTGGTTTTTGGTGGGAGCTAGCGGATCAACTCCATTTTGCGGAACAGCCAGTGGCGTTCTCGTCACGGTCGGAAAAGTTAAGGTCCGTTCGTACTTCTATGTGTTACCTAGAGTGGAACACGAGGTGCTGCTCGGAAGGGCATTCTTATGTCGGTCGGAAAGCATTATCATTAACAAGCATGATGGAACCATGTTTGTAATTCTTTGCGATCCTGTCTGCGGTTATTACGAAGTGGTCAAGTGTGCGAACACTGGACCCTATTGCTCGCGGAACCGGCTGAACCCGGAATCCTATAGCTTTCCGAAGTCAGAAAAGTTGAAAAGGGAGAAGGAATCGCTAGGGGAGGAGCCGAATCCTCGTGAGTTCTCGCTGACCCTACCTGATATTGGGCAGGCGATTGATTTCGTGTCGACACATGCGGCGATTGATCCAAATGTGGTGCAAGCCTTAACGGAAATCATCACGGACACCGGAAGCGTAGGAACTATGCGCCTCGTTTACTCCCCGTCAGAGGGGAATAAGGGAGAAGATCAGGAATTGCCCTCCACCCGACAGGGTCCTTTTTTAAAGGATGTAGGCTTGACACCGGCGCCAAACGTAAGTACAAGAAAGTAGGCGTGAAGGCGAAGCCGGTACCTGTTCTGATCACTCAAGAGGAGGAAGTCTATTATCATGAGGAGCGCGAGTGGATCAGAAAAATGAAAGAGAGAGGTGAAAAGGGGTCATGTCGGTTAACCAAAGAAAGAGTGGGAAGTATAATCATTGGGGAGGAGGACCTCCTTACTGAGCAGGAAAATGGATACATCATCAATATATTGAGGGAGAAACATCTCTCCTATGCGTTTGATGATGATGAGCGAGGAAGGCTGGATGTCGATAAAATCCCGATGATCAGAGTTCATACTGTACCACATGAGCCATGGAATGTAAGAGGGCCACGTTATCCGAACCCGGAGGATCACCGTAAGGTGGTCGCATACCTTGATGGAAAAATCCGGACGAAAGTTGCAGATTATTCTTACGGACCATATGCATCTCCATGGTTCTGTTTCACCAAGCCGAATGGTACCTTACGGTGGATTCAGGACCTTCAGAAACTGAATTCGGTGACAATGCGAGATGCAGGTGGACTCCCACATGCGGACCTACTGTCGGAGTCTTGTGCAGAAAGGTCTATCATCACCCTGATCGATTTATATTCAGGGTATGATCAATTTCCCATTTACACTGCGGATCGGCCCAAAATGGCGATGCACAGTCCTCGTGGATTGATCCATATATGTGTGGCGCCGCAAGGATGGACGAATGCAGTTGCCATTGTTCAGAGATATATGACGAGGGTTATGCAGCCTTGTTGTCCTGACATAACTTCGCCGTATATTGACGACTTGGCTATTCCAGGGCCTCGAACGAAAGACCTGGCGGAGGTGTTGCCGGGCATTCGCCGCTTCGTTTGGGAGCACATCAATGATGTAGTGAAAGTTCTTAAGAGGTTGAAGGAGTTTAATCTCACAGCTAGTGGGATTAAGTCTCGACATTGTATGAAAAGAGCAGTGATTTGGGGGTTCCTTTGTGACGAGAAAGGTCGTCGGCCGGATGCGAAGAAGACTAATAAAATCTTGGAATGACCAACCCCTTTCAAGTCAATCACAAATGTGCGAAGTTTCATCGGAACCTGTGGGTTTTGGCGCATCTTCATCAGCAGGTTTGCCGCCAGAGTGGAACACTTGCGAAAGCTTGTGCGCAAAGGCCAGAAGTGGGAATGGGGTCCGAAGCAGCAAGCGGTCGTGGAAGACATAAAAACTGAGTTCCGTGAGGGCGGATTGATCCTTGGAGTTCCTTTTTTCGACGATGATGAAAGGCGTCCTTTTGTTATTGAGACTGATGCGGGGCCCACAGCCCTAGGAGGGGTCTTAATTCAGAAGGATGCTGAGGGACAGGAAAGACCTCTCAGATTTGATAATAGGACTCTGAATGTTGCTGAGAGGAACTATTCCCAGTTCAAAAAGGAAACTTTGGCAGTGCTTCATTGTTTCCGTATTTTTCGGAATTATGTGTTTGGTAGACGCCTCATCCTGCGAGTGGATCCGACTGCATTGGCTCAGTCCTTAAGGAATTATTCACTTGTAGATCCCACTATTGCACGATGGCTGACTTATATCTGGATGTTTGACTTCGAAATTGAGCGGATTTCGGGGAGTCAAAATCGTGCTGATGGGTTGAGTCGGGTTGAATAGGATCCAGAGACAGATCAGGCAGAAGAATCCATTCCGGTCGATGCCTTTTTGAAAGAAGAGGAGTTGAGGTTGAGTATTAACTCCTTTGCCTACCTGACTGATGCGGCCACTCGACATAGGATACCAATATGGAATGCTCCCATCTGTCACGAGATACGTTCAGAGCTCGTGATGGAGGGACCTTTCATCGAGGAGGACCCATGGGGTGAGCAGACTGCAGAGGAAATGATGAGGCTGGCTTTGACCGATGACATCGACCTTATGCTTGATCCGCTAACGATTGAACAGGGCCATGTGCAGGCTGATGACGCTTTTCAGACTGTTGGAAGGATGTCATATATCATGAACTTGTTGGTTCATGAGGATCGCCTAAGGTTAATGAATGTGGAGGAAGGGAGCAGTGAGGTTAAAGAGGCATTCAAGGAAAAGGAGTACGAAGGGGAATATAAGAAGATAGGCATGTGGTTGAATGGGGAATTGGACGAAAGTGAGGTTGATCCGGTTGTGCGGGAGACAAGCAAAGGATTCGTTGTTCGTGACGGTCATCTCTTTAAGAAAGTTGCTGATGGTGTCCCAAAGAGGGTGGTATGCGGAATCTCTCGACAGTTGGATGTGATTGTTGCTCTGCATGATGGGGTAGCCGGCAGACACATATCTGCGCGGGTAACTTTGAACAAAATCCAACGCCTTTATTTATGGGAAGGGATGAGCAAGATGGTGATCGATTTTTGTAAATCTTGTTTCCCTTGTCAACAGAGGTCTAACATCCGCTACCTTGAGCCCCTAAATCCACGTTATGTGGCAGAACCGGGTGCGCTGGTGCATTTGGATCTTTTGGTGATGCCACCTGGGATAAATGGGTACAAGTATATCTTCGATGCTAGAGATAATTTGACTGGTTTCGTTGATGGTTGTGCCATTCGCGAAAGTACTGGGTCAGTCTTGGCAGAGTGCATTGAGGAATATTACCTCCGTTATCCATTCATTCAAAAGATTGTTATGGATCGAGGAGGCGAGTTTCGAGCAAAGGAGGTACAAACGCTTTGAAAGAGACTTGGGGTGAGTTTCAGTTATACGACGGGAGCGCATCCCCAGGCCAATGCACCCGTGGAACGAGGACATGCCACCTTATCTAACTTGTTGGCTAAATGGTGCAAGGGGGAGCCATCAAGATGGCCGATTTATTTGAGGGCAGTCTTTTTCGTTGAGAATGTTACCATCAAGCGAACGACCAGGTATGCTCCCGTCACATTATGGTTTGGACGGCATGCGACTTTTCCAATTGAGAGTTTCCTGATCACTTGGCAGAAACAGGACATTGAAACAAAACTCTTAACAGAAAAGTTGTTGGAATTGAGGGCAAGACAGATCATGGTGACTGAAGAACGGATTGAAGACGCGACTGTCTCTACTTCTGAAAGCAGGCAGGCTGACAAGGAAAGATGGGACAAGAGGCCACGTGCACGAAAAGAGTCGTTGGAAGTGGGAGATGTCGTCTTGTTGTATGATATGTCGCTAGAAAAGCAGTGGTCCAGAAAGCTAGACAGTCGGTGGCTGGGACCATATCGGATCACAAGGAAAACAGAACACGGGGCGTACGAAATAGAGGAGTTGGATGAATCTCGGGGTAGAAATTGGGTATCGGGTGCACATTTACGGAAGTTTATCCCAAGAGTTTAGTGAAAACTTTTGGAAAGGAAGGGTAGAGGAGGTAATTGGTGGTATTAATTTTGGTAATCCTTCTTGCTTTCATATTGTGGTTCAGCTGATTCCGATTTTTGTCTTAAGCTAACCAAGAAAGTTGTAAAGTATTAATAAAAACATTGAGATCGAGAGGTTATCAATGGGATGGTGACTCCTGTTGTTTTGCAATAATGAAGTTGTGTCTTACTGCCGTAAATAATTGTAAGATGACTATGATAATTTTCTCACAATTGTCGTTATGCGTGAGAGGTATTGAATATTGTTGTAAAAAAAAAGAGTGATACCAAAGGACTTTGTGAGATTTTTATCATGATTGGATGTTCATTGCAGGAAGAGTGTTGTAAAATGGTTGATGGATACTTATGTTATTACAGAACTCATCACATACAATTCTTATGAAACTCCGGGTATGTGGTTGTGAATGAGAAATTTTTGTGAGTACAAGTCTAAGGAGATGATCTGTATTTGGGTCGCATGCCTGACTTAACATGTGTGTTATTCGTCGGACATGTGATTCAATTGCTTGCCATGCCTTATGACTTCGTATTGTTTCGATTGTCATGCAATGAGGAATCATAATGTTGTGAGCCCCGTAGAGGGTGGTGAGGCCTGCGCCGAAACTTTTTCCTGGTTCATGGTAGGATGTTGTTATCCTTCCTTTCGGGGAGGGTGACTGCACTATCGTTGAAAGGGAGGAAGGTGGTAAAATGTTTGTTGGAACCTTGCTTGTGAGGGTGGCGATTACCGCTCGCCATGAAGGAAATATTGATCACCTTTTCATTTGTGGTGAATGGGGTCGCCTCGACTTTATGGCCGGGTCTGATCAGCTTGGGTCATAAGGGAGGGGTAGTTCAACCTTGCAGGTCGGGTACTAACAGATGTATGGCACTGGAATCGGAGGGAAAGTGGTGAGGCTCGAGTCTAAAGCGGGGCTTGACGTCGAGATGTTATCCCTTGTGGGTTACACCACTCCTCGTCGCATTCACAAGACCTGAAGGAGATAAATCATGCATGATGATTAAGTTGGAATGAGAATTAGCCGGACTGGACAAGGGCTTTTGGAAGCATGATTTCTCTCTGGGATGGTACCGACACATGCTGTAGTATAGTGTGAGTACCCTTGTGTTTCGTGGGAGGCCCAGGTTAAACTCCTGGCAGCGAGAGATATGCTGAGGTGATGGGAATGCATCCCCATGAACACAAGAGACCCATGTTAAATTCCTGGCAGTATGTGTTGTACGGATGAAAGACCCGCAAGGGGTTAAGCCTGACGATACCTAGACAGGGGGTTATAGCCTGAAGAGAGTCCCATCAGGGGGATAAGTCTGACCCATCTATGAGAGACAAAAGGAAAAATGAGTGGCCGCCAGTGGGATGATGCTTGGATCACTCTTTTTAAAGGTTATTGTACCTCCTTAGGCTGGGTAACGCCGACGGTCGACGGTGGATTCCAGATTCCGGGGAAAGGTCTGTCAGAGGTTATTTCTGACCCCATTCCAACTCGTGACTGAAGGAGAGTGCTTTCGAAGGAAGGTTCGAAAGAATTACGAGGCTTGAAAGTGGGCCCCTGTGCTAAAGGTTTGAAAGTAAGCCGTTGTTTATTAAAGGCTTGAAAGTAAGCCCTTTGCATTGATGGTAATGCAGTCTGCACGGAGAGTTTCATGAAGAGTATCCGGATAAGTATAAACGGAAAGGGAGACAAACGATGGAAACATCGCTTATCATGTATAAGTATGTAAAATCTGGGTTAATACCAGAGGTATTATGGTTATGTAATATATTTGGTGAGGTCTTATAAAAACTTCCCCTTGTATTGCCGTATGGTAAGCGACAGGGACGTCGCTTAATGGGGGCGGGGAAGGCTGTCGTGACAAAAATCCTTGTGAGGGTTTTTGCTCGAGCTTTTCAAGGTCAGACACTGACCGACCCTTTCTTAAAGACTTGATGAGATTGACGTTGCCAAAGTTATTCAGACCAACCCTATAATCGAGAGACTTAAAACCTGACGTCGTCGACGTGGGACGTCGTTGACGTGAGACGTCATTGACGTTCGATCGAAACSGCAGGAGTCAGCGGTATGGYTGTCGTCAGCGGTTCTCGACGAGGCCRCAGTGGTGTGCGGTYAGGGAAAGAACTRAAGCTAAGCCTAGTCTACCTAAAATAATGTCGCGCGGCTGCTTCAGGGCCTAAGTGAGCTAAAAAGAGGTGTGCGCCGGGTATAAAGCCGCGACGTAGGGGGAATAGGAAGGAGAGTTTAATTCTAGGGTCGCGGGGCTTGACGTCGAGCCAGGGGGTTAATAGGCCGATGCCAAGGTCACGCGACAAACTGGGCGTGCATGGCCGTGAGTTGGCGGGGCCGGCAGGGCCACAGACAGGCGGGCAGGCAGGGCCTGCAAGGCCGCGGGACGGGGGGACATTGGCTGGGCCAAGCCCTTCTTATAGGAGAGCTGCTCCTATCACTGTCGTGATAGGAGCTAGCCCAGTAGGTTACCATACCAAACTCTCACCCGGAAGATACCGGGAACGAATCTGACATGCTAGGCTACTGGGCAAAGCTCCTTTTGGAGCAGCCCAGCGATCCTCAAGATCGCACGGCTGAGATCTGCCGCGCGCGGATCGAAGTGGCCCCTGCGTGAGGATGACACGCATAAATCGAGAAATGGTTTAAGTTTTAATTTTTTTTTTTTGAAAAAAAAAAAAAAAAAAAAAAAAAAAAAAAAAAAAAAAAAAAACTTACCTGTCCCGTAGTTGGACGCGTAAGCGTCCACATACGGGCCTTGTGGAAG